CTGTCTTTCTTTCTGTATTTCTTTTTTTCTTTCTTTCTTTCTTTCTTTCTTTCTTTCTGTCTGTCTTTCTTTCTTTCTCTCTTTCTCTCCTTCTCTCTTTCTTTCTTTCTTTCTGTCTTTCTTTTCTTTTCGTTTCTGTTCTGTTCTTTTCTTTTCTTTCTTTCTCCCTTCCTCTCTTTCTCTTTCTTTCTCTCTCTCTCTCTCTCTCTCTCTCTTTCTCTCCTCCCTCCCCTTTCTTTCTTGCTTGGTGTCCCTCGTCGTTTCTTTTCCTTTTCCTTTTCTCTTCCTTTTCTCCTTTCCTTCTTCGCGCGCAGCGTCCTTACAAGCAAACTAGGTTCTGCAACAGATGTTTCAATGAGTCTGGGCCTTTCATCAGCTCGTCCTCTTTCATTTGGTTCCCTCTTCATTGGTCCCCACTGACTTCTTTTCCTGCTTTTCTTTCATGCGCTTCTGTCTTTATGTTTAGCCACGTCGTCCTCATCCTTTTTTGTCTTGCGCGCACTTTCGCCCAGCCCTTAGTTTGTGTCTTCTTTGGCGCACACATGCGCTCGCATTACCCCCTTTCCAGGATGGGGGACCTCCTTTCCGGGCAGGATGGAGGCCACACATGCCTCCCTTGTGGGAGGCGTGTGTGTGTGTGTAAGCCTTGGACTCACAGGGAACCCATTGGTTTCGAGCAGGGGGTCGAGGCGCGATATCACCAACCTTGACCAACGAAGCTGGGCGATATCGCGGGATGTGGGACTTGGCCAGTCCCATGTACCTGCTTTAATCTAATGGGTAACAGGAGGAAGGGTTCGTTGGCAGACTTGTCTCTCGATTCCCTTCCTTTTTGATCCTTCTTTTACCCTACCCTATCTAAATGTGCAGTTTTAAGTTTTGTGCAGTTTTGAGTTTTTGTCTGCGCATGCACAAACCCATGAGAGCTGGCCTCCAACCTTGGGGCGATGGCCTCTAACGCACTAGTAATGACCTCCAACCGTGTCGTTTTGCGCGCTTTGAGTTTTGAGTTCTTGCGCGTACCATACACCTACTAGCGTTGGCCTCCCAACTTGGGGCCCTGGCCTCCAACGCATTAGGGATGACCGTGTGTTTAGAATGTTGATTTTGGAGAAGCTAGGCAGTTTTCATCAGGCTCCTTCACTAAACTGGCCAGCTTGGAAGAAATCCTGGGAGACAGCTAGCTGAGGGGTATGCCTTGAGAAGGGCAGGACCTGCCAGGATCAGTGCAGAGGTCCAATGGACCTAGCAAGAACGAAGAAAACCAAAGAGCTTGTTGGAATTGGTAGAGCAAAGCGGGCAAAACAAGTCAAACCTGTGACGCCCCTTTTCATTCAGCAGCCCTGCGGATGTGGGGTTTGAAACACATCGCGCATTGCTTTGGAACATGCTGCAGTTGAACAGGTTCATCCTGGGCCTTCTGGGAGTGTCTTGGCGGTCACCGGGCACTTTGTGGGAAAGGGCGCGGGCGTTTTGGGGGAACGCAAGGCAAATTGATGGAATGTGTTTGATATCTAACAACGATTTCCTTCCTGGCTGGAAGGTTGGCAAATGAATACATTGGTAGCAATTGCTGTGAAAAGTACTGCGTTCAGAGTAAAACTGTTGCTTCGCTTCCACAATTTCTTTTTTTGGGGTGGAAAGTTGGCCAAAACTTGGGTGGTAAGCTCCAAGGTAGAACTTCCTACCTCTCCTCCCTATATTGTTTCATGTACACGTCAACCACTTTGAAGTTGAACTTTGATTTAAACCCCAAATAAAAAGTAAAAAATTAGAGTTTAGACATAAACACTATTATTCAAACATGTTCCCATCAAATACTGAAAATCCTACAGAAGCGGTAAAAAACCTGATAGAACCCACGAACCCGAACGCGGTCATTTTGTACAGAGGCGTAGCACTCAAAGCGTTCTTGTTTTCGGAGATGACTCGCAGAGCCATCAACCAAAGCAGCGCCAGCGCCTCCCCAGCCGTCTAGACACTCTTTCTTGACACACTTTGCTAGACAATCTTTCATGACACTTTCTCTTGACAATCTTGCTGGACACTCTTGCTTGACACTCTCTGCTAGACACTCTATCTTGACCCTCTTTGCCAGACCCTCTTGCTTGACACTCTTGCTTGACACGTTTGCTGGGCACTCTTTGCTAGACACTCCTGCTTGACACTCTGCTAGACACTCTTGCTGGACACTCTTTGCCAGACATTCTTGCTAGACACTCTTTCTTGACACTCTTTGCTAGACACTCTTTCTTGACACTCTTTGCTAGACACTCTATCTTGACACTCTTGCTTGACACGTTTGCTGGACACTCTTGCTGGACACTCTTTGCTAGACATTTTTGCTGGACACTCTTGCGTGACACTCTTTCTTGACACTCTTTGCTTTCTTGACACTCTTTGCTTGACACTCTGCTAGACACTCTTGCTGGACACTCTTGACAGGACACTCTTGCTTGACACTCTTGCTAGACACTCTTTCTTGACACTCTTTGCTAGACAACCTTTCTTGACACTTGTTCTGACACTCTTGCTTGACACTCTTTCTTGACACTCTTTTTCTTGACACTCTTTGCTAGACACTCTACCTTGACACTCTTGCTTGACACGTTTGCTGGACACTCTTGCTGGACACTCTTTGCTAGACATTCTTGCTGGACACTCTTGCGTGACACTCTTTCTTGACACTCTTACTAAATACTCTTGCTGGACACTCTTGACACGACACTCTTGCTTGACACTCTCTCCTGACACGCTGCGCTAAGACAATCTTTCTTGACACTTTCTCTTGGCACTCTTGCTTGACACTCTTGCTGGACACTCTTGCTTGACACTCTGCTAGACATTCTTGCTGGACACTCTTGCTTGACACTGTCTCTTGACACTCTTTGCTAGACACTCTTGCTTGGCGCTCTTGCTGGGCACTCTTTGCTAGACACTCTTGCTTGACACTCTGCTAGACACTCTTGCTGGACACTCTTTGCTGGACACTCTTGCTGGGCAGGACACTCTGCTAGACACTCTTGCTGGACACTCTTGAAATGACATTCTGCTAGACACTCTTGCTAGACACTCTTTCTTGACACTCTTTTGCCAGACATTTTGCTAGAAAGTGTAACACAGACAAAGTCCAGCCAGGTATGTCACTTTCCGACGTCAAGTCTCCAAAACGATCGTTTCGTACGAGACTTCCTCCAAAAGTCACGCGTCAAGTCTCCAAAACGAGCGTTTCGTACGAGACTTCCTCCAAAAGTCACACGTCAAGTCTCCAAAACGAGCGTTTCGTACGAGACTTCCTCCAAAAGTCACACGTCAAGTCTCCAAAACGACCGTTTTGGACGAGACGTCCTCCAAAAGTGTCATTGCTCCAAAACAAGCGTTTCGTATGAGACTTCCTCAAAAACTCACATGTCAAAGTCTGCAAAACGAGCGTTTCGTACGAGACTTCCTCCCAAAGTCAAGCGGAAACACCCATCGGAGCACACCCATCGCGCAGCCCTGCCAAGCAGTTTCGCGATTCCAGCCCCTCCAAACAACACCCGCTCACACGCCAATCCCAACGTCACAGCGACATTCCTCATGATTCCCTGCGCCCGCCACGAATCTTTCCACGTCCACACGTCTAACGCGCACAAAGTCCTGCGCCTGCCACGAAATGTCACCTCCGTCACACGTCGCAACCTCACGGTTCCCTGCGCCTGCCACGAAAATCGCACTTCCACACCTCAAAACCCGCACAAAGTACTGCGCCTGCCACGAAAAGTGAGAATATCATCTCATGTGAGCTTCAGCAAAGTTTGCACCACACCACACGTTTGGAATGATTTCGGCCCGTTCTGAGCACACTCCCATCCACCAAAATCACCATGTCAGCCGAGACTTGTCACGAAAACAGCGCTTCGATGCCACACCCCGAAACGCAAACCCCAATGGCACTGCCACATCCAACACCCCAAAAAACGACTCTCCAAACGCTAATCCCGAAGGAATACCGACACAAACGTGTCACTTTCACGAAACCCTGCGCCTGTGCAGCGAAATGCATCACGTTTCTTGCGCGACATGTCACTTTCATGCAAATCACAATGTAATAGCGGCGCAAACTGACACGTGACAGATCCATGAAAAGTCACTTGCAAAAGCTTCCCCCAAAGGCAGGGCCATAGAGACATCATACGGACGGTTGCAAACGGTTGCAAACGGTTGCGGACGGTTGCAAACGGTTGCAAACTCGAAAACAACGTCGGGCAAACACAGCTCTACCCTCAGACTCCCAAGTTAAACAAGAACCCTTCGCTACGTATTCGGGAATTATGCATTCAGGCAGTCTTTGGGCTCAGCCATGTGCAAATATGTCGTTCGACAACAGGTGTAAACGTGTGCCGCATACCTCATGTGTCTGTGCGTGTGGGATGCAAACGAACATGCATGTAACATAAACGTAAGTGTGACCCACATGAAACATATACGTATGAATAATGCAACGCCACAGGTGCGCTGTTACCCCATGTCAACCCACCAGGTGTGCATTGAAATTATGCATGTTCATGCATGTGTATGTATGTATGTATGTATGTATGTATGTATGTATGTATGTATGTATGTATATATATACATGTGTGAAGTACCAATGTTGTAAATGTCTTCGGCGGTTGCACGTGTATGTATGCAGACTCAAACCAATGAAAAACCACAAATACCGCGGGACCGTTATGGCACCTAAATGGTGATATAAAGGCACCTAAAAGGTTGAATGTTGCAATTTCGGAAACGGCACTGCTTGCCTCTGGTACCTGCGCAGAAGCTAGGATCCACTGCACATTTGGTTGGCTTGCTAGATTTGCTGCGAAAACCCCAGGCTTGGTGATGTAACACCAAGCCCAGCTCCAAATCCTTCGTGTCCTTCAACGAATTGGTCAACTCCCCGCTGAGGCTCTCGACTAAATTCGACCCAATCTATCTCTACATTCACATCTTGCTCATAAACATTTATAATTCTTCCAGACAGAATGGACCGCCTGCGGGGTAGAGACTCTACTCGTTGGGTCATTGGAAGCACAAACCGTTGAGTTCTATTGCAAGTCGCAAATGTATTGCCATCAGCTCAGATGACCATGTTCAGCCACTCAGTTTCCATTTTCACGTCGTCGTTGATTTCTGCCCTTTCGACGCTCATTGATAAGCCCTCAGATAGGCGTTTAGTTCTGCGGCCACATTTTCAAGCCCTTTTCCCACCACAACTCCCTACAAACGAACTCATTCTTGGTCGGGATCTCACGCAACCCTGGTTCTCAATCACTGAATCCCCGTCAGCCTTGCAATCTTTTCCATGTTCTGAAGTCAGATTAGACTTGAGTCAAAAGTCACAAAGTTGAAGCACAAAGATATCTGGGGATAGGAACAGGAAGTGGGGGCAGCTGTTCAATTACTTTACCTCAATTACTTTACCTACAGCCAAAGGATCTGCAAGAAGCTGAGACAAACGCCAGGTATCAAACTTAGGCCTTCCAAAAGTAAGCCCTATCAGAAAGGTGGCCAGGCGTTGGTTCGGATGCAAACATGTTGAACACTGCCTGAAAAGTTGGCAACCTGCAATCCAATGGAATATAGTGGAACAATAGTCACCAAGACCAAATTCTATGGCTTTCTTGATCCAATCCAAAAATATTGTATCTCATCGCCAGTTAGAAGCAGATCGCACTTCCATGTGCCTCTTATCTCCAAGACAAAGGGTGTCAGGCCATCGAATTGAAGCTTACAATCTCTTAGCCTTGAAAGAAGAATAGCCTTCTCGTTGAGAGAATCGAAAGCAGAGAGTAGACACAGCCCCCCAGAACCACCTCGTGACACAAGCCGAGTCTTGCTTTTGTGCCTTTTTCCTACAAATACGGATGTCCAATGCAGCCAATGAATCGGTTGGTTCTCTTCTTCATCTCGGATCTCGTGCAAAAGTGGCACCGAGTACAAGATTCGCCCTTGCGGCAACCGTCTGCCTGCGGCGAGGCAGTTGATTGAACGCCAGTTTTTCAGACCTCGCCCAATCATCTTCACACCTTCATCCACCAAAGGGTAGATTGAGTCTTTGTTCAAGAGAAGGGAGCGTGAAATAGGAGTGTTCCTCTACTTCCTGCACCTGCATCGGTTTTGGGTCTACAGGAGGTTGGACCTTTCCAACTAAGGTTGCTGGTTCCGGTTTCAGATCCAAGTCAAGTGAAGATTTTGAAAGCTGGTTGGTCCTCAGTGACGCTTGGGTTTTGCCCGAAAGTAAAGAACAAGTGCTCCAAGCAGACGCTGCTTGTGCTTACTGGCTTGTGAAAGTTCGTGTTCGGTGGGAAATTCACTAAATTGTAATCAAACAGAATCAAACGGCATAGAGACCCTACGTGTGCTCCGAGCAATGTTCTGGAGATTCAGGAAGGCCACCGAATCCCGCTTCGGTGCTAGTTGCCTAGTGGGGGTTTAATTGGGCAGCGTTCAAAAATTGAGCCGCGTTCAATACACTTTGCGGTTCCCTGACCTGGATCAATGTTGCTTTTGGAAGGTCATGATGCTACACTTGAAGATGGCCAATACCTTTCCATCAAGGGCTGAGGATCAAAAGATCCAAGGGTTCAATGACAAATCACCAGCCTAGGGTGATCGACAAGTGGCTTTCCTTTGGAGACCCTGCCATCATGGCCCGTTCTCCAACAGACACACGCCTTGATTGTGAAAAA